TTTATTATTTTGTTGTCAGTTCCTAATTATTAGATACTGTATTATTATTTTGATACCGAGGACATTTGTTTGTTATTTGGCATTCAAAATGTTCTGGATTATAAATAACTACAGAAGAAAACAATGTAAATAAATAATTACAATAACTTAATATTGTCAGACGGTACTAATAATTATGATCTTTTTAAAACTTTTTTTTAAAGACCCGTTATAGCATTTGTCACCTGATCTAAGAAACGGCTCACAAATATTGGCTGTTAACTACTGTATGGCCCAGAGTAACTCAGATACTTTGAGTGTCTGAAGGGTGTCAGGGTGAATATTTTTATTACTGTATTATTATTGTTTGTGTTGGAGTTTGTATTATTTTACCTGTACATTCTCTTGGCCTTGAAGTTTGCACCCTATTTCTTAGATCAAGTCTCAGTTATGCTTTATATTATTAATGTACGTACACATTGTCGATAGTGATCAAATGGTCAGGATATTTACTACCTTATTCATTAGTCGGACGAACAGTGATCTTTAGTAATGTGAGCCAAAGAAAAATATATTATTTTGGTTAGTTTACATTTTTTTGAATTTGTAAATGTGTTTTGATAATATTGTCTTTCTATTTACTGTTCAGTACTTAGGTTTTATTATGGAGATCTCAGACTTATGTTCAGCATTATTTTAACAACATTCCGTGCATTTTATTGCATTTAGTACAGTGTATAAATGATTTGTCTGTTTCTTCATATTTTCAAGCCTTTTCTTACTTTAATACTGTACAAGTTGCCAGGACCAACAGTAACTAGAGATTCTTCATTTACTCTCACTCATTCATAATCATTCTTATTGCTGTAGCAGAAAAACAACACAGTATTCTATTCCCATTTGCTCCTCCCACAACCCAACCCCCCAAGCATCACCCATCAGTACCACAACTTCCCCCCCCAGCATCACCCATCAGTACCACAACTTTCCCCCAGCATCACCCATCAGTACCACATTCCCCTGCCTCAACCCCCCCCTCTACACCCCAGCAGCACCATTTTCATCCTCAGAAGGTTCCTGCTACTCATGTTTCCAGTAACTCCTGTACATCACTTCTAATTTCGAGTTCATTTAGTGTAAATTTGTCTTATATTTATTTCTTCATTATTTCTGTTGTTTTATATATTCACCAGCTTGATACAGTAGAGTTGTGTTGATGCATTATGTTGTGTTCTTTGAGAAATTTCATGAAGTGTGAGTATGGAAGGCCCTGACAAAACTGTTCAGAGATTGACGAATAAGTTGACTTTGTGTGTTACTGTGAGCATTAATGATGTTCTATATGTTATAAAATATAATTTGTACTTCAAGTGGTTATCATAAATGCTTTTGTATGTATTATAACTGCTGATGCTCGTGGCATTTAAGAATTTACCATTAAGTTTCTTGATTAATTTAACTTCTTCTGTGAATACACTTAACCCACAAAACAGCTTAGGAGCTAAAGCCATATTCAGGAATGCCTCAAGTAAAAAATGGACAGAAATGTGCTACCTGCTTATTGCCTCTGTCTGGTGGGAGCTTAACTCATAACTATTTGTAAATGATGCAGATTGGACTGTTAGTAGTTACAGTTACTTAAGTTTGATAAATGTCAATGAAAATTTTGTAGATGTGAGTCATGCCGACTATCATATCTACAAAATGGTTGTAAGTGATATCTCCGTTAGCTGGAACAATTGGTGCAGAGTACTTTCGGGAGAGAGATTTCCTGGTAACGAGACGACTCTCTCAAGGCTGGAAAAAAATTCCTTGTCCCCGTAATTTTCCATAATTTTCCAGGTAACGGAAAAATGTTCTCGGAAGTTCAAAAAATTGGCCATTACACCATCTCTCGAACCCAGAAATGTATCCCCCATCCCCAGAATTTTCTGGGCACCGTAAAGATGTTCTCATAATTTCCGGAAAATACGCCTGATTTTCATCTCTCAAACCCGGAAAAAAGTGCCCCGTCCCTGGACTTTTTTGGGTATCGGGAAAATTTTCTTGGAATTTTCTGGAAAATGTGCCCCTCGGAAAATCTTTCCCAAAGCCGGAATTTTCCGGAAAATTACGGCTTTGGGAACGATTTTCCGAGGAAATTTCAATTCCGGCTATCGGATAGTTTCAGGTTTGAGGGATTCCGGCTAACGGTGATATTACTATATGGCTTCTGGCTTGACCAAGAATTTACTTTATGTGACTTAGAATACTTTATAAAAGGAATTCTGTCTTATTGAAACACAGCTGTTCACTATTTTGATATTTTTTTATGTTTATATGATTTGATTGTTGAAATACTGTATGATCATATGTTATAGACGTACTGTAAATCTGTATTTGTATCGTCTTGGTGAATTTATTTCCTTATTTCCCTCATATAGTGGAGGCCACATCACTGACCTCTCTCTGACTATTCCTTAATTCTCCACCAGCCGTGTGCGCTCTTGTGCCACGGTCATCTATCCTCTATTGTCCCCTCCTGTTCTTTCCAATGTGTCTGTCTGTCTGTCTACCTTTTCCTTGGTCTGCCTCTTATTCTGCTGGCCTCCAATTTTACTCTTGATTAGTTATTAATTTCAAATATGTATTCAAGGTTTTCATTTTGAGCTGAATGTTGGCCAAGATGATTGATTAACCTGAGTCCAAAATAGTTCAAATTACAGTATTTCTGAATCATAATCTGAAAAATTCTAACCCTAACCTTGGATAATCATTATACTGTACAGTATTGCATTGTACACTTAAATTCACATCATCCTTCAGATCTGTTGCAGTTTATCTAGCACAGTGAATGATTTACAGTACAGGTACATAAACCACATTCTCCCTTATGATCGCCATCCCTTTCAAATTTCTTTGGACCTTCTACATGTAAAAATTCTGGACATGTACTGTATATTATATATACGTATATATATATATATATATATATTTTGTTTATGGGATCTTGTTTATAAGTACAGTATTTATTATAATATTACTCAATTATAGCTCCTCATGTTGATATTGTTAATACTTGATTATCATCTTTCATTTGTTATAAGTAAAATGTGTAATGGCAGTGTGTTGTCTTAAAAGCGTGTGCTGGTGAAATATTAGTCATAAAATGTTAGATGCACCCTGCCATACTGTACTGGTTGTGGTGGAGTCATGCTCAGAGTAACAAATTTGCAGTGCATAAATGTGTTTTGTGCATAAATAATACAAACTGCATTTTGTGTTCATATTTGGCATAAAGATGCAGGTGGTTTATTCTTAATTTAATTTTTTGTAGTGAAAACTAAGGAAGGGTACTGTTTTATTTTCTTTATTTTCCTGTGATAATGAAGTTATTTTTTCAATGTCAATAAATGGTGAATAAATTGTCAGAAAAAGGTTTCTTTCATTATATTAAACATACTGAGGCCTGGTAAGATGTACTGAAGTTGATATTGATGGCATAAAGCATTACTGTGCTTCATCAGCTAAGGTCTTTAAACACTCACAGTACAGTACAGTATAGTACAGTACAGTACAGGCATACTCCAATTTACAAATTAGTTCCTCTTCTGAAAAGCTTTTTTGCAAATTGGAACACATTTACAGTACTTACAGACTCCCATTATAAGAGCTAAGATTATTTCTACAAAAAAATTATTGCCCCAAAACATGTTAACCCCTTTGCTACAGGAATGCCACTTAAGATTTTATCTGGCTTATGTCAGACAATTTTATTCAACAGGAAAAGGACACATGTGGTTAAAATGCCACAAAACATTTTTGTTTAATATTGGTGACCGACCTGCGTACGAGTTATTTGTTTTACTGTTTATTTTCTTACATTATTTTCATCAGTGAGTTCTGATATGATAATCATTTCTTGTGGAAATGCTTTGTTTGGTAGATAATTAGGCGCCTAAGCGTGCACTACTTTGTCTTCTCGGCGGTAATGAGGCCGCGCTCTAGAGAAGAGTTGTCACTTACCCGCAGCTGTTTCAGTTTCAGCATGACGTGTGAAGGTTGTCGTCAGTCTTCTAGGGACGTAATTTGTGAATTTAGGGATAAAGACGAGACCCTTCAGTTTTTCAGAGACGTGGCATCATTCCTTTAAGTAGAAAGTTTTGTTCACAGCAATACTGTGAAATAAAACGGTTTGTGTGCTTGGTCAATTGTTGATTGAAAATAATCATTCATCACTTCCTTGATGCCGTGGCTCACCGTTTCCCGCCATCTCAACAAATCACTCCGCCACCTGGACTGTATGAGTACCAATGCTGCCGGATGGTCTTACGTCCAGAAGAAACCCTCAAAATACATCATATATTAAGTTCTTTCTGCTTAATATACCTGGGGTCGGAGCCCCCCAGTAAGGAAGTTAGGTAAGGTTTGGTAGGTCTGTATGGCTAGGTTGGTGAGGTCTGTTTTTCATACCCACTAAGGTTAGGTTACATTTATTTTAGAAATAAATATTTTTAACATTTGCACAAACTACAAGTGTTCACTATAAAAAAACAAAAACAGTGAAATTGCAGCATTTTTAAAATCGTTTTCTATGAATTTCGGTTGCGGTTTAGTCATCAATAATTAGGTAACAAAATTTTTATGTACAGTTGATTTTGGTTCAATAGTTAACATATATTGTAAGTAAAATATATTACTGTATGGTACAGTAATAATTTTATACCTGTACAGTACTTAAAAGAAACTGGCTGAGATTTGAGACAGTGAACAACATGAAATGCTATGGAGATGTCTTTTTACTTTTATTCAAGCGGCTAACGAGCTAATTAGTGGCGCAGGGGATAAAGTACAGTTTTCAATTATTGGCTGGATAAAGTGGACGGTAATTGTTACTTTACTTATCCATCAATTTGTTCACACGATTATCTATTTTTTACTTATATATTTATGTATTTATTCATTTACTTGTCTATACTTGTATACTTTTAATATATAAACGAATTCTCGCCTAAGTGAACCGTATTTAATTATCTGAGCCAGTGTGAGGTAGACTGAGCCGCGTGGTGGAGTGGTCACAGCTGTCCTTAACCTTCACGGATAATGAGTGGTGCAGGCTTGACTTTAAACATTAGGGAAGGCGACAATCCTAACTGGGTAAGATTTCCACAAGTGATGTACAGTATGTGTTTATTAATTAAGGTACCAGTGACTTGGAACTGTAGCTTGAGAACCACTATGTTACCTTGTTCCCATTGATATTCACCATTGTAGTTTGACGTTTATTAGATATAATTGACCATAAGTTCACTCTGATTCAGCTTGTATATAGTGTAGTTGTACAATATACACAGATGGGAATTATTTGGGTTTGGTGACATGCAAAACAACGTTAAGCAGATCAATTTTCCCCTTAATAAATGGATAAAATACGGGAGTTATGTTCCCCAGACTCCCTTTACCCATGAATAAAGTTCCATATACAGAAAATCATTGCCATTTCTATAGAAAATAGTACATAGAACTACAGTACAGTACAGTACTAAGTTTGTATTGTTACTCACCAATGGGAGGAGGTGGTTGTGGTTGGTCTGACTACTTACCCAAATGTAGCAAAATGTAGCCGCAATGAAGTCAAATAATGGTCCTACATGAATAAATCGGGTTACCAATCACTTCTCGACTAGTATTTGGTGTCACAAGTAAAAGAAAATTGGAAAACTTACTTTAATCTGAGTTAATACATCGCGTGCATGTACCGAGGGAGCGAGGAATTACACAAATGTACCCAAATGTAGTCGCAATGAAGTCAAATGATGGTCGTACAAGCGTAAATCGGGCTGTGAATCACTTCTTGATTATTATTTGGTGTCATAAAGTCACAACAAATTGGTAAACTTAATTTAAGCTGAGTTGTGTTGTGTTAGGTTAGGTTAGGTACATGCACTTGATCTATTAACAAAGATTAAATTAAGTTTACCAATTTTTTGTGACTTCGTGACACCAAATACTAGTCGAGGTTAGGTTAGGTTAGGTTCGGTACATGCACTTGATCTATTAACTCAAATTAAATTATGTTTTCCAATTTTTTTTTTACTTTGTGACACCAAATACTAGTCGAGAAGTGATTGGTAACCCGATTTATTCATGTAGGACCATTATTTGACTTCATTGCGGCTACATTTGGGTAATTAGTCGGACCACTGGATGAACTATCTGCTCGAACGACTAGTAAATGGATAAGTGGTGAGAAAAAAAAGAGGTGTAGAGTTGTAAAAGAAATTGTGGAATTTGGAAGTGCTGTACAGTACTGTCATTTGCAATTCCTCAACCTGATTTGTGGTTATCTCAATACAGTATTAGGCAACAGAAGGTGATTTGGGAGCACAAGAGTTGTTAAGTACAGAATTACCAAATACACATCCATATACTGTATAGTATAGTACAGTATATTGTAATTGATGCATCATTGGAGAATACAGGAAGGAGCTCTAGAATGCGTATAGTACAGTAATTTTTGGTGTTATACTATGCCATATTAAGATTTTTTACATGAAGATGGTACTGTACTGTACTGTTTTACTTAGTGTAAGCAACGTTATTAGGAGAAATTTACTGCCCTAATGTATTTTTCTCAGTTTTGCCACAAGAATGAACTTTTGAGGAAAAAAAAAAGAAGATACAATAATTGTCTCCCAATAACTTTTCTCCCAAGAAAAAAAATATTAAGTGTCGTTGTTTTAATGGATTTTTTGTCTGTGCTTTGTAGGATTTCTTCAGGGATCACCGCAAGAGAGGCCGAGAAAACCACTCGGGTGATTCATCTGCAAAACGATTGCGGGATAATCCACTAAAGGGCAAGGAGAGAGATGATACGAGACATTCCAGTACTAGAAAGGTGGTCAGCGCCGATAATGGCACTGCCGAAGAAGAACAAGATAATACGTTCGAAGAAAAGCGCGAAATCCTGACATCGTTATTCACAGGAAATCCAGACATCCCTTACATTCTCCAGTCCAACATATCCAAAATGTCTGAGAAGGTCTTTTCTGAGGACTCCTTCTCCAGCTTGAAAATTGCTCCACAAATTGTGAGTACTGTACTGTATTGTTTTCTTGTTATTAATCCAGAATGTTGACTTTTATTGCTAGAAGTAATTATTTGTTATTGTTATATATTTTATTTTATTTTTTTGTCACCGGAAAGTTAGCCCCCAGCAATTTTTTACCTCACCTAATGATTATACACACTAATGCTTCCTGGGGGTTAGGTTATGTTAAGTTGGTTAATCTTAGGTGAAATAAGCTGGAGGCTAATCTTGAGTTACTACTGTATATCATTAGGATCTATACTGAATGGTATGAGGACAATTGGTCTGGTCTGGTTAGGTTAGGTTAGCTGTATGTAAGATCGAGCACTGGTGGGCAAGTGTTCAGGGGGCAGTTGTCGTAGAACCATACTCTACAGTATTATCTTTGATGCTGTTGGTCACCTCACACTGGTTTACCTATTGACTAAACTCCGCCCACTTTTGGCTTTTAAAGCAACTCTTGTATCCTTAGAGATACAAACATCATCATGAGGGGGGGTTACCTTCCAGGGCAGGTGTTTAATGTGGATGAGACTGGATTATTTTGAAGAAAAGTCCAGATAGAACAAACATTACCTAAGAGGAGAAGAGTGAGCCAGGTTTTAAGGCTGTATTTTAGGGTATAGCTGTACTACACATCCATTATTTTTTCATTTTTTTTACAATATGTTTGGTATCTACAAGGGTAAAGTTTGACTTCCTAGCAAGTCTCAGGAACCTAATTTGTTCATAAGTAGAGGAGCACCTGTACTGTGTATACAATACAGTTGAATGGAAGCTGCCGGTAAGGATACTGTATTTGTATGGTACTGTATACAGTGAACCTCTATTTAATGGACTATATGGAGAGGAAAATCCTTTATATCACAGGTCTGTTAGATGTGAAACCTCCATCTAACAAACTATACTGTACTGTATAGAGATACAAGTCCATTAGATGTGAAAGCTCCCATCTAACAGATTATATGGAGAGAGAAGCTTGTCATATGGAGGTGTTACTATACAGTACATCAGAGTGGCTGCTGTTTGTTAAGTATACTGTACAGTTAGATCATGATGTACAGGGTTTTCATTTTGGAAAATTTGCTGCAATGAAAAAAACTTGACCTGTGCTTTGATTATTAGCCCCCCCCCCAAAAAAATCATAAGTAATGATGAAAGTATGCTAAAAGAAATTATTGCTACCGGTATGATTCCTCCTAATCTTCATAAGCTCCTGTGTTTCCTAAAAGTAACAATTTATGTAAAAGTAAAATATTGAAACCGCACATCTTATCCTGGTAATTTCACTTTACAGATATCAAACGTAGAAAAGTTAGGTTTTACGTCGATGACAATGGTACAGCAGAAGAGCATCCCGGCTGTCCTGGCTGGGAAAGATACCCTGATTAAGTCACAAACTGGATCAGGGAAGACGTTGACATATGCCCTACCCATCATTCACAGCCTCATGATGGTAAGTGATGTGTCATCTGTGTAATTGTTAATATTATTTGTTCCATTCTTTGTGTACAGTACATTTATAATGTACTGTATTTGTTATACAGGTGTCCTCCGATTTACGATCTCCCTACCTACAATATTTTGCTTGAACGATGGTGATGTATTAAGACCGACCAACGCGGAATATGGACCACATCTCTTGGTGCACTTGTCAGCTGCGGTGTACCCACGCGCCGCCACCCGGTGCACTACAGTCCCAAGTTTTGTTCCATGGTGTTCACACATGCCCGTGATCGTGTTGCTCAATGATTAATTATCAGTCAGTATCAGTGTACAGTAGTTACTGATCATTATTATTTTTATTTATTTTTTCTGTACCTTACAGTGAGAAGACATCACAAACGCTCACATTGTACCCTATTTTGGTGGCTGTGAAGTGAATTTTGCTATGTTCATGAACATGATGTGAGCGGTGTCGGCCACAATAACGTTATCATGGTTCGCTCTGTTTTTGCGACAAGTGCTTACGCTCTGTTTTTTGTGGCTGTGAAGTGAGCAGTTTAACTTTGAAAATATCTGGGAAGGCCAAGGCACCCGGGAAAACTGTGTCTCTGGAGGTGAAGGTTGACATTGTGAAACCACTCCAGGCTCCCCAGAGGCTGTGTGGGAGTCAGAGTGACGTCTCCACTCCACCTTCAAGACTCCCCTTAGCCCTTGAAGGGGATTTGTAATGATGACCAGGCTTATTCTTAATGGGGTGGTGAGTGTTGTTTGCATGGGTTTTATCTACAGTACCTATAATATTAGTGAAGGAATTTTTTTTTTTCGATATAACATGTGGGTGTCTGACTGGCTGGGAAGGTATCCCATTGTACCTAATGTTATAATGATCCCGATTTACGATATTTCAACCTGCAATGTGTTTTTGAGGAAGGTAGCCCCATCGTAAATAGGGGGATACCTGTATACATATGGATGTGTTTGCGTATAATGTTGTTTTTATTAGCAGTAGTAGTACAGTCGTAGAAGTAAACACGTGTTCAATCCGGTACACTAATATAGATTCCTCTTTACAGCAAACCCCACATCTTCAACGAAGTGATGGTGTTCTCGCTGTAGTTATTGTACCCACAAGAGAATTGGCACTGCAGAGTTACCAGTGGTTTGAAAAATTATGTAAGGTATGGTTAAACTCACCAGTTTATTTATCATTTACATTAAGCAATCACATTGAATTATTCAATATATTCTTTAGTCACCTTTTCCACTTTTTCTCAACATAAAGTGAATTGATTCCCTGTTGTGTAGTCGTGTGTTTGGGTGGTCCCGGGATACCTCATTGGTGGAGAGAAGAAAAAGGCTGAGAAGAGTCGGCTGCGTAAAGGAATCAACATCCTCGTTGCCACGCCAGGACGGTTGATAGACCACCTGTATCATACCAAGTCCCTTAGTGTGGCAAATGTGAAGTATTTGGTGATTGATGAAGCTGACAGACTGCTGGACATGGGTTATGAGAGAAGTGTCACAAGGTAAGAATAATGTATTGTACGTTAAAACTGGGCTATAGAAAGTAGAGGCATGACATATAGCCAGTTGGTCTGGTCCTTTTTGCTATATTAAGACCTATATTGTCCAGTGTTAGTACAGGATAAAACTGGGGTACTCGAACAAAGCCTGCCATTTTTAGTAGGGTTACACTGGATAACACTTCTCACCTCTGTTCTAGGCTTGGTACTATTGAGCCCAGGACACTTTGGTTAGCGATACATGCATTACCACTTTACCACCAACATCCCTTAAAATATTGTTGTAGTGTACAGTCAAGTTAAGTTTAAGTTGAAGGTTCTCAGGTAATATATGACTCTTCAAGCTGTATATCATATTAGTGGTTTAGACAGACTGCAGCTCTGTGTCGTAGTTTTGCCAAAGATTCTTGGACCTTAAAAGATTTATTTTACAGATCTTCAGAAATTAAGGATCTCGTGAAAATTAGAAACCCCAGCTTATTTTACTTGATGATTAAATATCCTAATGCTAACCTAACTTACCACCACCATTTAGTGTTTGGGTGTATAATCATCAAGTGAAATACAGGAGGTCTTTGTTATAAGAGTATTCACTATCCGCAGTTTTGCAGTTAAGTGGTCAACTTTTTATGACCATCCACATCAAAAGTCCCCGCACTTAAGTGGATTTCACTCAAAAACTCAGAAAACTTCGGATAAACTCTGCGGATTTAAAACTCCCGATAAGATCTACGGATTTTTAGCTGAAGCGTTTGAAATTTCATCCTCTTCCTGGTGTCAAGCATGCACATACGTGTCTCTGCGTCAGTCTCCCGCTTTGTTTCGTCCAGACCAGTGCTGTGTTGTGTTTACTCCTGCCATTGTTGTGTCTTTTCATACATGTTGCGGTGAATTATTTTATCATTTTTGTAGCCATAAATTCCCAACCCAAACAGGGTGGTGCAGCACTCAGAAGGAAGCACACTAGCTATAGTATAGATGTAAAATTAGAAGTGATTAGGCAAACGAAGAGCGGCAGTGGACAATCCACCTAGTCTTGTTTCTTTTCCATCCTCCAACTAATCCTCCTCTCCCAACACCCACCTCCATCAATCCAATCAAGCAAACATCTCTGCCTTTGAAGCTAAGTAAATAAAAATATTTTATTATGTTGCCTCAACACCGACCCCAATGAACTTTAAGGACGTTAGATAACTTATAAAGTTAAATAATTTCTCAAAATATTGTGTTGTCAAATGTTTACAAAATGTTTCTAAGGTAAATTATTGTTAAAAGATATACGAAATTTTTTGAGTGTCGTGTACAATGTCATGGTCCCAATTTGACCTATTTCCATTATTTCTTATGGGTTTAATTCCCCGCTTTAACCCTTAGGCCCCGGATGACATTCCAGAATGTCCGAGTAGCGTGCCCTGGGTGACATTCCAGAACGTCTGCCTATTTTCCCGCCTTTTTTTTTATTATTTTTGTAAAAGTTTATTTTTTTTCACGATTTAACCCCATGGGGGGGGGAGGGTACTGCCTGCAGCACCCTAACCCGGGGCTTAAGGGTAAAGCGGATTAGTTATCAGAGGCGTTTTTCTGGTCCCAATTTACCACGGGTAACGAGGGCCCCCTCTACTACAGGCATACCTCAATAACCAACGCATATTGGGACCGGGAAAAGTTGGTCAGTGAATCAACGGTTATCAAAGCAATTAATCCCATAAGAATATAACATTCAGGGGGTTACGGACTGGCCACCCTCCAAAAACTCTCATCTACCCTTGATAAACCTTTTTATGTGTACTGTCAAGTAAGAAAGTAATGGAGATATATAAAGCAAGCATAATAGGCCTTAAATAAGTAATGTAAAGCATAAATTGGACTTATTAACTTGTGTTGAGGATGGTAGAGACAGTCTAGGGTGGTAAGTTCAAGTCTCTACTACTCTTTGCTGGTCCACCACTACTCTTATTACGCATTATCACATTACATCAAACTGCCTAAGTGGGGCATCTCAAGAGAAACTATCACTGGGGTGTTTAGGCGTGATTGCTTAACACACGAAGTCGAGACACATGGTAAGTGTAAACAAGAGCACAGAGGCAGGAATCAGTCAGAAGTAGCACGCAGAGCCCTCTCGTGGCAAGAATTCGTACCATGATAGCGCTTACCAAATTCAAAACAGCTCTTCCACTCCTCTCCTTATAATCAGATCTCCGGGGTATTTCCCCTGTATGTAATCGTTGATTATGCGAATCTGCAGTTATTGGTGGCATTGGTTTTTGGTGTACACCTGTTAAGTGGGGGTTTCTAATCTTCAAGAGATCCAAAACTAGTTAGTTTCAAGCTCAATGTTGTATAATTTTGCTCCTGTTTCAGCATCATCGAGACACTGACAGAACAACAGCCAGGGTTATCCAGGTCAAGACAGACTATAATGCTCTCAGCTACACTGTCTGCTGGAGTAGAAAAACTGGCAGGTGAGGATGATAAATATCAGTATAATATTGTTTACCTTTAAATTAATACAAGTGTGGTCAAGTATTTGGTATATATTTTTAAATAAGTGCTACAGATTATAGAAAGGTGATTATGGTAGTAAAAATTGGTAAAAGTTAATACTACAGTACTGTAGATTATTATAAAAGGATTGTTCAGTGATGTAAAGGATGTAATACTTTTAGTGTATGTATGCATGTAAAGATAAAATTCATATAAAACAGTAAAAGAGTGTATTTTAGAGATACTGTACTAAAAGACCCACTCTTTATTCTTATCATAGGAATGAGTCTCCTATCTCCTGAAGTGGTTGACATCAGTCATGAGGGAGAGGAGAGCAGTAGTCAGCTTACCTCTGAGGATCTGGCTACTCCAGAAAACCTCACCCACCATTATGTCTTGGTTCCTGCCAAACTCAGGCTTGTCACACTAGCCGCCTTTATTTTGTCAAAGTGTAAAGTTAGTACTATGGTTCATACGTAAATCTTATCTTTTTATTTCAACATAATACTGTTGATAACATAATGTGCATTACAAGTCCTATATCTTGTACTTTACTTGCTGATTACTGTATGTGTGATGTTATTTTTTCCCATTAGTTTGGGGACGAGAGAAAGATGGTCGTCTTCTTTGCAACTCAGGATATGGTGGATTATCACACAGCTCTCTTCTCCAAGATCTTGTCCAGGTGGGCAATATATATTTTGTGTCAACAAAGAAAGGTGTAAATTCACTAACTGTATTTGTACAATGGACTTCAATATACAGCTGCTCCTCGACTTACAATGGGGCTAGGGACCCAAATCCAGGTCGTAAGATGAATTGGTCTTAAGTCGAAAATGCTTAAATAATACATAGAAAATCTAAAATGGGTGTCTCTTTTTCTTCTCAGCACCACAAAACTCTCACTTTTAAGCTTGTCAGCCATTTTTAAGTGAATTACAAACGAAAATTTTGTCAGTACACAGCGCAATCACTAACGTTGGGACTCGAAAATACGTAATTTGACAAAATTTTGGTACGACTGAGGCAGTCGTATGTCCGGGTGGTCGTAGGTCGAGTATGTTGTAAGTCGAGGAGTAGCTGTATCGGTATTCGCTTTTTTCAGACTCTGAGGTGCTTTGGTCACCAGAAATACTAAAAATAAAAGACAAATTATGTAAGTACAGTACATATTTTAAGAAATGAGGAAGATTTGAAAAAAAATCTTATAACAGCACTTACTCACTGAATACTATACAGTGGTCTCAGCAGATTTGCTATAGGCTTACTGAGAACTAAGACACTTGAGTACATAAGCAGGCTGGGGCTGATCAAGTGTTGCCACATTCGTTAGTTTTATTGATTCAGTACAGTATTATTTCTCATATGATCGGCCTCTTATGGTTTAGGTTCATCATGATTAATAAAACATCTTCAATAATAGAGAAAAATAAAAAATATTATTTATACTATGACTTGAAAATAAAAGGGTAAGCTGTATCAGAAGATATTTACTCAGGATGCATTGGTGTGAGACTTTCAGCAAATAAGCTTACAGTAGGGTCACTATAACACTGTATAGTACAGCTCCTCCCCGACTTACGACCTACTCGACTTACGACCACCCGCACTTACGACCTGCCTCAGTCGTACCAAAATTTAGTCAAATTACGTATTTTCGAGTCCCAACGTCAGTACACAGACAAAATTTTCGTTTGTATTTCACTTTAAAATGGCTGGCAAGCTTAAAAGTGAGAGTTTTGTGGTGCTGAGAAGAAAAAGAAACACCCATTTTAGATTTTCTATGTATTATTTAAGCATTTTCGACTTACGACCTGGATTTGGGTCCCTAACCCCGTCGTAAGTTGGGGAGGAGCTGTATTTGATATGAAAATACCTTCCTAACAACATTATTTACTACCTTTGAGTGATACTTGGCTACTTGTACACTTAGACAACTGATTATTGAATAAATCAGGGTACATATGCAAATGCATAATACTATGCACTTCTATATTACTTCTTAAGCGATGATAAATACACTACAATAGTATTTATTAAGTATTACTGATAAATAAACTATAGTAGTATTTATTAAGTGATAAATATGCTACTGTACTAATTTACTAAGTGTTGAAGACAGACGTTGGGGTAAGCATGAGTGGTGAAGGAGCTCAGCCTATCAGCTATTTGGCCTTTGTAGACAAAACCAACAATTCATGGTGCTCAGTGGAGGATTCTTTTTTCAGGAAAGTTGAATCTTTTAGGATAAAATTTTATCAACCTGGCACCAAATGCACCTCAATTATATGAGAATTCTGGTGAAATTGCATAAAGACATGTTAAAGGGATTTTGGGGGTAGAGGGGGGGGGGCACCCAACTGCACATCCCCACCCCTTTGCCTGCTGCTCCCCGATGTACACTCGTCTGCCACAAGCAATGTACTCCTACACTTATTTGTTCTTATTTTTATCTGTATAGTACTGTACGGTATACAGTTTTCTCTTTATTCACAAGACAAATCCTGTGGTTACTTACGTATAACACTTTACAGTAAATAACAATCATCTCTGTGAAAAAAAGTTGATTTTTTTATTGTTGATGTAAGTCTTTTAATAAGCTTGTTAGACACTTAAAGACCTTGGTTGTTGAAGTACAGTAATAATATAAAAACATCTGATTTTCTTTAAACAGTTCAGATAAGCAGTGTTTTCTCCACCTCCCTTCCCAGCAGATACACTTTTTTTGAACTTTCACATTTTTTGGACTGGGATCTGCCCCAGTTTGTCTGATTTATTGTGGTTCTACTGTATTTTTAAATAAAACATATGAAACTGAATTCATAATACAGTACTGTAGCTGTAATGGAAGAGGCAGTAACTGGTGAAGGTGTAATTCAGAGCTGGCCATCAAGTGTTATTTTGCCATGGTTGTTTCTATGCTGATGTATGATGAAACATATACAGTATGTATATGCTGTATAGTGTAATGCATTATGTCACTTCAGATATGGTAAGACAACCAACAATAACTCATCTCTAGCCAGGCGGGCAGAGAAGGTATTAGCTGGTGAAGACGATGACGGGGAAGGAAGTGAAGATGAAGAGGATATAGAAGAGGATCCTTCAGATGACAGCGATGATCATATTCTCTTCCAGAAGCTACATGGCAGCATGACTCAGCAGGTAACTAATGTTCTATAAAGTTTGGATGACACAGAACATTAGCAGTATGCTGTACTGTATTGTAGTGTACATGCTGAATCTATTGTAAACCTGTGTGACCATTTTGCTAAATAAATATACTGTTCTGTATACCTGTTTATTCAAATATTTTTCTTTAAGATATTTTACTCCCAGTATGTGATTACTTTGTCACATTTCCACTTGACACTTAATTTTTGTTGGAATAATGCATTGAAAATTTTGGTTGATGTAAGATAGTGAAAAGAGGAATGTGATACAGTATTAAGAAGAAATGAAGGGAGGTTGTTATTGATTACTGCCATCCTTCACTTGGTGGGGAAGGCTTGTAAGGGTGGAAAATTTTTAATTTATCTCTAATATATTGATCCAGTAATTTATGGTTTTGCAGGATAGATCATCTGTGTTTAACTCATTCCGAGAAGCAACGGCAGGTGTCTTGATGTGCACGGTGAGTTATGCATGGGTTAAGTTTTGTTATAGGTTAATTTAATGTAAAATCTTTCAACTGAACCCCTGAAATAAGACGAATATTTAAGTAGGTGTTTTAGTGTACAGTGGCTGGTGTATAAGGGCTGTAGTACAGTGGTGTATCAAACTAAACACTTATCATCACATTATTGTACTTATTGGATTCATGATGACATGACCTTTCTGGGGATGAAACCCCATTGTAAAACTGGGGGTTTATTATAATGCTCTAAACTGGATATGTTTTGCTTCCCGGTGGGATTAACTTAGTAGTCATAGTGCTTGATACACTGCAAGCATTCAGGAAACTGCTTCTTTTCTCATATGGATGATACTTTACATAACATGAATTTTCCTTTCATAATCTAGTAGTTTTGTTGTTCACCACAGGATGTAGCATCTCGAGGTTTGGATATGCCGAAAGTCCGATGGATTGTGCAGTTCAATGCTGCCTGTACGGCTGCGGACTATGTGCATCGGGTTGGTCGTACTGCCCGTGTCAACGCTGCAGGGTCAGCCATTGCCTTCCTTGCTCCGGCCGAGGCACCATACATCCGGATGCTTGAACAACATAAAATTACGTAAGTGAAATACCCACATCTTATATGTCGTTAAATGTAAACCCTTGAAAACTCGGCATTTGATGTCTCGGAATTTCATATAATTTGGCAGTAGACAAAGTGGGCATAAACCTATTATATAAGTAAAGGTGATAAAGTTTTGTGTAGCCTTGAAAAACATGACTTTTTAAATGTCTGACTTTGGCCTTGTGATTTTATAATAGCTTTGGCTCAATGTCTGATCCAGACTCCCTAACAGGCAGTTACACCTATGGGATTCAGTTTAATTTTTATATGTCAGATAAGAAATGCTAACTTGTGTAGTAATGTGTGCACTTTGTCTTCATTATTGTTGCTTAGATTAAAACAAATAAAGTTTACTTAGTCCAGGACTTTTACACAATGGAATAACCAGCAGTGAATAAGATTATTTGATTTAACTAAGTTCATTTAATGTAGACCATTGATGAGAATTACTTCATGGGTTCTGAATACAGGGATTGCCCCAGTAGTTACCCCTACATACTGTATTGTCAAATTTTCCCTCAACAAACTTTGTACTGTATAAGTCACTAATTGGTAGATTAAACTCCTCATCATGTTGCAGGTTGAAGGAAGTGCTGATGCAGAAGGTACTCAAGAACCTCATGTTACCAGTGGACAATGCTTCGTATAGGGTATGTTGCACTCTTTATTGACATGTTGAACAAATATCTCTTGCTACAAATTAACAACTCAAACATTATCTCTGACTTGCACACACACACATATGTGCAGTTGCCTTCACATGAACATACCATGGCCTGGGAATGTGTGAGGGCACAGGTACGAGATGTGGTAAATGGTTAACGAGAAGTATTGTAGGGAAGGAGAGAGAGAGAGAGAATCTACTTCATGTATCAAGATTGTGTTTTTAAGATTAACCAAATTAAGGGTAGAAAACTTTCTAGAACCATTCTTATGATATTTTAGTATTTAGGGAGAAGTTTTGGAATCTTTTGTAGTTGAAATAAATTATAATAAAAGGAATTAGGCAGTAAAGAAATCCTCTCCTTTTACAGCCCCTCACCCAATCATATGAAGAAGCAGCTACCAGCCTTCAGGTTCAAGTAGAGAAATTGTTACTTAGGGACCACGCCCTTCATATGGTGGCAAAGAAAGGTATGAATAAAGTTACTTCAAGGACCCCCAACAGTCCATTATAACTAGTAAAGATTTTTATGCCTGAAACAAAGAATGGATGTTGAGAACTATTGAAAATTGTGATGACAAGGACTTTCATGAAGGCTGTGTCATAGAATTGCAAGAGTACTGTAATTACTATAAGTTTTTAATGTGGGGGTGAGATTGAATCCATTAAAGTAAGTCAACATTTTTTATCATTTTGTTTCATTTAATTTTCAGTAACCTTTTATATCACTCTTATGAGGATGCAGGAAAATGTTTTTAACTTGACGACTTCTTTTTAATTTATTCAACTTTCACACTTTCAGCATATGTTTCGTTTGTTCGCTCCTATGCATCTTACCCCAAAGAAGTGAGGGAAATGTTCAACTTTAAAGCCCTGCACCTTGGTCACTATGCCAAAAGTATGGGACTGAGAGACACTCCAGCAGCCCTAGGAGCCTCAGCAGCATTCAAGGCCAAGAGAGAAATGAAAGAGAAGAGAGAGAGAAAAGAGAACAGAAAGTAAGTTATTGAAATTTGTACTATACTGAATTAACATTAATAATTACTGGTTGTAGTCAAATGGGCCCAATCCAATGGCTAGGTTAGGTTGGGTTCTTGGAGGACTTAAGTCTATAAGGACTAGAGACCCATCTGGCCAGTCAACAGCATACTGGTCAGTTTGTTATGAAGATGATAAGAGTTATGATAAATTATAATCTTATTTGGGGAGACTTTATTTGTATGTTTTTATTTATTTTGGTATTTAAGTAACTTTTGTCTGGTGAAGTAGAGAGTGGAATTTTATGATGACTTTCGTAAACGTTGATATTAGAAGTAGAAATTATGCTGCGTGCTTGTACGTGTGAAAGCTGTTGCCTACCTGAATTTTGGGCTAAAGTTATTGTTCTTGAAGCTCTCTCTCTTTTTTTTTCCTATGGTCTTTAATTCATTGTAACAGACAATATTTGTGGTAGTGTTCCTCAGTATTCACAAGATCCTTTGGATGCTTGGTTTCTGACCCCTCATACTACTTTTTCTCAGTGACCTTGATATTTATTCATCACTAGTAACTAAATTTATCCATCTTATTGCCTTATTAACACTTAGTCATCCTGATGTTTCTTCACTGGTAAATACAGATGAAAGATAAAAATTGTAGGAGTCTGGTCGAAAGAACCGACTTGTCTTTATTTAACAGTGGTATTGGAAACTTAAATTTCTTTTGTTTATTAATTTTGATGTTTGTTCACAGGAGAATTAGGGTGATGAACCAGAGGTGCGGAAATTTACCCAAAACTGCCAGTATGTCCGAGTTTGACAGCGGTTTGGAAGGCTTATCCAAGATGGTGAGGAAGAAGGGCCTGGTGAAGAATAAAGCCAGATTTAAGAGATGAAATTAGAAAATATTAAAATAAACCCTAACATATACTGTACAGTACAATATGTTAAATCATTTGCCATCATAATGTTGAGATAAAATGTGATGACTGAAGTTTGTATTATGAATTTCTTTTGTAAACAGTTTCTTTTAATGATTATTTATACATTAAATATGGTAAACTTATTGATAGCAGTTTTATGAAATTATATGATGGAAAAGATGTTACATTTGTTGTTTCGTTACATTCATTTTAAAACCTGAATATTGTATTTATTATGAACATGCATTAAGAATATGGATAGATAAATACTTGTTTTAGTGTTGACATTTTAGCCTTGACAGATATTCCGTATCATTGATGGTGTAGTATAGTGAGTCATTTTCATTTTTATCATGGAGAAATTATATCGTATACATTTTTGTCACTGCATCTGTAATTACTGAACATCTACTCATTCATCATCTTATATTTTATGTGAGGAGATAGGTAGGTGTTAAAATGTGTAAAGTTTGATACTGTACCGTTAGTTAAGATGTGAACTCGCATACCTGGGAACTTTCTGGCAACTGGTGGACTTGTGACCTTTTCCATGCCAAGTTGGTCATTCTTAAGATGAGTGCAGAGGGGGGGGGGGGCTGACATGACAACCATAAGTAAACAGTACATGTAATATTGCAAAGATAACAAATTATTGGTAAAAAAGGGTTTTATGTCACAAACAATCCCACAGGTAACATTCATATCCTTCCTGTAATAAATTTTGAATGATAATACAGAAACAGAATTAATACAGATATGGACATTGTCCTCTGTGCAAGGTAATAGGTCCATATGCATAATGGACTTATTATAAAGGTCACCTATTATCCACAGAGGTAATTATAGACAAACTTCTTGTTGAGTTTGTGTCATATAGATCTTGGCAAAGTACATCAGAGGAGATTGAGTATATGCTGTGTTGTTTGTTTATAGTAGTAAATATGAGTTCTTGTAGCCATAGTCTGTCAAGACCCTTCATCTAATTGAGGTTTTTGTCCCATGGAACCTGAAAATTTCAGATTTTCTTTGTGTTTTGTTGTCCTCAGTTGTGAGTTAATTGATATTACTGTAATGCATTGAGATAGTTCAAAATTGTGAAGCAGAATAACATGTCTTTATCTATAGTATAAAAATGAATAATCATTGATATTTTATTATGATATTCTTTGCCTTGAAGATTTACTACTGTAGCCGGTTGTATTGATGTATAAAGTGACGAGTATAACCAGATACATTTGAGTCGTAATAATTCACGAAATACAAATTCGCTGGTACAGCTGTGGAAATGTGTTCCAACACCCTGTGGTAACATGTGACTCCAAACGGCCAACCTATAAAGACCTATAGCAAACCTATCCACCAATCATGTCCAATTTTACGTGACCAATACCCATTCATTCATAAATAGTGATACTACTACCGAGACATTGCCGTTTGGAGACACTGGTTACTATGGGGGTGTAGGAACACATTTCCTCAACTGACTGTACCTCTATTGTGGCAGAATTTAAAAATTTTGTGGTCAAATAGTCCTAATCGCAACAAAGCGCTGGCTGCTGAAGTGTTTATTTACATAAGAAATCATAAAATTTGTGGAAATATTTTAATGTTCTAATTTGACTTACAGATAAAGAAATTATAATATAAATATCACTTCAATGCTCTAATGTGACTTAGAATATAAAACTATAAAATAAAAGTGGAAAGTGAACTGCTTGTGGGAGGCAGGACAGTTCCCGAATGTTTGGTGCCCCTCTGACTTCATTAATACATTATGTACTTTCACCACAATTCCCATATTAATAAGTTTATTTGGTACCGGGTTAATTAAACAATATCATAAAGTAATAAATTCTCTCATACAATAAAACACATTCAACCCCAGATGAGTTATTATTTGGTTCAGGTATTAAATTCCTGATTCTTTGTTGATGCACTGTATTGCGGTCACAGCCAGCCTGGCACTTGCCTGTCTTGATGTTGGTATATTGGCATTACCTGAACAAAATTATGAGAAAGGAAGGAGCTGTTATATAATTTAGAACTACTTTTGGTACAATATAATATATATTTGTTACAGCATTTATTTTTTTATTATGTACGATGCTTATTGTTTATTAAAGCAGTTTTAGAACAGTTTATGGACATTTCTTGGCCTCTGGTACCAAACTAATTACAGTACAGTATTTCTATTTAAATCATTTAAACTATAATTCACTATGTCTTGTGGTACCTAACCCGTGAATTATTGAGACTCCACTGTAGATACTTTGAGGCCTTACGGAAGATCATCACAGCAGAACAAATTATTTAAGACTGGTAAAATGATAGTTTGTGTTGTGCATGATTCAGGTTACCCTTTGCCTCAGTAGGAAAGGGCTTATGGAAAACTTTTTGAACTGTATTGTGTAAAGATGAGGCACTCCAGCTAACCAAAACTAACCCCCTCCCCAGATGGCATTAGGGTGTTTATTCATCAGGTAAAATATAAGCTGAAGTGCCTAATCTTCATGTCATGTTGTGGAAAGTGTTGTTGTGTTCCATCTCATGTAAGGAGTAGTTGCCTCAGTTTTGAACTAAATTTGAAGGTGTAAAAATGGGGAAATAAAATGTTCTTCCATTAGAGATATATGTGTAAAGTTGTCCTTGGGATATATATTAAAAGAGAACATGTGTAATAGATGTAAGTTTTGTGGTTTGTTCACAGTACATATAGATTCAGTCCCTGTATAACACCAACTTGATGTGTCGCTCATTGGTTAGGATAAAAAGTATCTGATAGATTTAAACAACTGTAAATGTTCTGCTCTTCACATGTAGCTGAATGAACTGTGCACAGGATATATATTTCTTCTAGAGGATAGGAAAATTAAACCACACAATGATATTGACAATGTATAACAAGTTTTACAAGCCATAGAATTTCATTACAGGAAATGAGTGACCTCCAAAAATGGGGAAATGTTGTATCAGTGTTGGATGGTCAAAATTTTATCTTTGTGTATGAGTCAGGTTACTGAAACAGCCAACAGTAATAGCTGGTGTGATTCAGTGGTATAGTCCACTTCCCACTAACACTGTCAGACCTAAACAGTAGTCTGTGTTGTAGACCTGGAGTGAGAATATTGGACCACACCACTAACAGGTGAGATAACATATTTTATATTCATTTGTAAGGAGAATGTAGAATTTGTTTAAAATTTCCACTGAATTGTTATTTAAATCAACCCCATAAATGGTATTCATGGCAAAAAACTACTGAATTGCACCATGGGAGCATAATGGCAGTTTAGATATGACAAAACAGTGAGATTCTATAAAATCAAAGAGTAAATTTCTTTGTTGGAACTTTCTTGAGTGGCCTTAAAGCTGGCAAGACATTATTTCTGCACTGAAACCAATCTAGATCACCTTAGGGGCACTCATCTTATATTGTAAGCAGAAACATTTTGGGAAATTTGATCATAATTTTAGCCACATCTTTATCATAGTTCCCGCCAAAGAGTTGTACAAACAACACACCACTCATCATGGTGCATCACATAGAACCATATTTTGAAAGCAGTGTGCAGTTGATGACTACTGTAGTCTGTATAAAATCAAACAAACCATATTTCACCAAGGAAATGTAAGGTTGACGTAAAGCGCCACAGTACTTGTTGTCACAGGTTAGTAAGCTGTATATTTACTGCTGTATCCACCAAAATTCATCCAGTTAGTTAGTATAAATGCTACTTTGCAGCAAAGTATTCAAAATCTTTCTATTACCTGTATAACCATTATAATAGGCATGATATTTGTAGTAATTATGGATTTCTTTCTTCATTTATTTTATAAAGGATTATTTTTGACATCCAGAATAATGGTTACAATTGACAGAAAAATTAACTTAATATTAGTACAGTAAAGTATTCTGAGATAGGAAATAATTTTCTCTGTTGTATAAAATGGATGGATAGTGAAAAGATGGTGGAAGGTGTGGGAAGACTGAGATGTGGCGCATGTGGATGAAACAGGCATAATAGAGTTTAGAAAATAGTATAATGAAGATTGAGGGTGTTTGATAAAACAGGATTTGTTTTTGTGTGCTTGCGATTAAGAGGTACTGTATAGCAGCTGGAAAGAACATAAGAAGATACTGTATTAAGTTGGTCATAGTGGATAAGGGCTTGCAAGATTGTTGATATAGTAGAGTAAAGCCCGGATCATGCTAGCCCATTTTGATGGCCGTCTCTGATGTAGTATTGTACAGTACAGTATAGCCGTTGATGATGTAACAAAAACGGTGTTCCGTTCAGGCAGAGAAGTTAAAAGGTAAACAAACATGGATGATGATAACCTTCGCTATGCCTTCTTCCTCACAGCTACACTCGGGACCCCAGCTAAGAGAGAATGGTCAGGGCAGTTAATAATTGAGAGGCCACTTTATGTTGAATTTAGACGCTTATTGGGGAGAGTGAAACAGATTGTGCCTGTTTCATTTTGTTTATTTATTTAGTTAGTTATTATATATTAAGATTAGGTTGGGTTAAAACTCATTTCCACAGAAAGTGAATATCACCTTTGGAAAGAGGAGTAAAATCCCTCCAGAAAACATGCTTTGTGCAGTGGTGTTGTATTGTACCTCTATAATCTGTATACTGTATTGACATTATATTAAGCATTTTCGTTCCCAATATGAATATACTGTATACTATATATAAATTTTAAGGGTATTTATATTAGTTAAGCTCAATTTCATTGTTATTTGACTAAATTTTTTATGTGAAACTTTGACTAATTTCAGCAACACATACTAGGTAGGCACCACTGCTTTCCGTCTTGACGGGGAGATGAAAATAGGTTATCTCACCCACGTCGATGGGCACGTTAGAAATGAGCAGAGACCATTTCATGGCTCACACATGACGTCCACTAAATGGGCTGGTATGTTGTGGAAAGAAAATTGATATTGAGATTGTTAAAATAATATATTTGAGTTATGTAAAAGGAAAGATAAGTGAACAACAATTAGGAAGAGAGACGGTAGTGTTGCTCATCTTATGCTGTCAACAAAGGTGCCACCAGATTACAGCTGACTGGAAGCAGCTACTTAAGAACAGCTGACACAAAAAGCAGACCAGGAACAGTTGAATTAGAACAGTTGGCTCAAATCAGCAACAGGTATCCCAGACCAGGTGACTGGAACCAGTGGGGCAGGAACAATAGATTGGCAACAGTAAGGTGAGTAATATAAAGACAAACTGTACGTACTCTGATAAAGTTAGAATATTGAGTTACAGCTATGGAAGTTTCCTAAGACAACATTGAAACTTTTCCATGAGAGCCAGAAGTTTTCCAGCCTTATTGGCCATTATCTTAGTCACGGAAATAACTCTTATGTATGTAGTACAAAATAGAATCTCCATATGTATAACGAATAAATGCTTTTTAGGGCTAGTGTACTATTAGTGTTGCAGCTGTTATGTTGCCACAAAAAAGTAACCTGGAAATTTTTAACTTACCTACTGATTTGCTTGTTGAATGTTTTTCTTTCTAATACCGTATTGGTTTTTCACATAAATGGTTGTGTTATCTTTAAATCATAATTTGTTCTTCAGTAAACACTTAAAGATACTGTTTATCTAATTGTTAGACTGTATGTGTATGCCATAATTTTGTCATGTGTATTAATATATACTGTATACTTGGTAAGTAATTTATTGATGTGCTCATCATAGTCTCATAGTTCCTAATTTACAGTTTAAGTGGCCGTTTATCATCTTTAACTCACTACTTTTCTTTTAATTTGTACTTTAAGATCAATATCCTGTAACACTACATCCCGTAAGCTTTTGATGTGAGCATAAATGTCTACATAGTGACATAGTAGAGGGAGAGAGTGTTGTCCAAAACCTCGCCCAGCCACCGTCTCTCTGGAGACTTGGGAACAATTTTGGTAATCTTCTCTAATTTTAGGCTGAGGACCACTTCACCTTCCAGTTCCTCCAGTTTCTTCTCCAGCTCTTGGTTCTTGAAGATGGAAAAAATACTTTGGTAGAGGCGGAAGTATGTTATAGAGGTCAGCTGGTTGCCGACCATGTCTTCAAACTGATCGTTACCTATGAGAGGAAATAACTCATTTTACTATCCTTGTATGGTGAAAGAACAACAGTTTCACTATGCAATATGTATACTGTACTCTTACAGTATAAGCAATTAATCTGAGAATGCTCAAAAAGTTCTTTAGTGAGGTTATGTGTGCATGTTATTATACTCCCCCACCATTGGACGTTTCTTTTTTAGCATATTTTGCAAAATCAACTACGGTACTGTATTACCAAACAAGTAAAGTGACTGTACAAAACACAAGTTTAAAGGTAGTCCAATCATTTAATGTGAATAAAGTGGGGAAGTATTGAACTCATACAAATTAATTTCTTAATATTTACAGGTGAAGAAACAGTGTTACTGGGTCATCCTTAATATGTCTTATCTCACATTTTTTCTCCACCATTTATCAGCTTACTAGGAGCCACTTGGATTGTTTTTATGAACATTATTTTCGTGCTCGTATAGGAGGAAATTGAAGTATCTGGAGAAAACCTGCAATCTTTAAAAGATTTACAGTGAATAACACCCTTCTCATACCTGACTTTGGCTGAGGATTGAGCCTGGGATGCAGTAGCGAGAGGTAAGCACACTACAGTATACATCACCCACCTGAGGCTAATTTGACCCTGCCAGCGTGAAGGGCATAGTAAGGTGTGAAGTAATGCTCCATCCTGATCAACTCACTTTGGCTGCTGTTTAAAGACAAAGTACTGTATATAAATTATAAACAGGTTGAACACTATATTGCTATTTTTCTACATATAAATGGATGTTAAGGAATATTGGTTGTATTCATTTAGAACTCTTGGATTCCAAGCATATTAACATAACCTCTGTTATTGTCGGGGAGCCTATGCATTTACAATATATGTCTCAGAATTACCGGGTAACTTACTATATTATTGTTACATTATTATTATTTTGTATTATTATTAATTTATTATTATTATTATTATTATTATTATTATTATTATTATTATTACCTGGATTAGTAATGACTTAATGAAAGTTCATCAACAAAATTGCTTCAATAAAATCCTGTACAGTACAGTACAGTAATTACCTCTGACTCATGGCAAAGTTGTTCTTCAGTTCTCCATAGGTTCTCTCCCCAAACACATACACTTGGTACATGATATCTCCGACCTCATACTCAGTAATCACATGAGTCCCGTAGAGGTCGAGGAACTGGTTCACAGACTCAGATGAACCGATCCTTATGTCATTCACAGCGCTCTTGAAGTTGGGGGTTAGTGTGAGACGCCCTGTAATGGGGGACATAGGAAGGTTACACAGTATATATATATATATATATATATATATATATATATATATATATATATATATATATATATATATATATATATATATATATATATATATATATATATATATATATATATATATAGCCTATATATATATATATATATATATATATATATATATATATATATTATATAATGGTGTTCATGAAAAAGTAGTAAAAAATAAATGGTGTAGGAATAGTACCTATACAGTACAGTATCAGTAATACACAAAAACAAAAGATATATTTCCACCTATAAATTGGCATAATGTGTGTACAGTACTGTACTAGTATAATAATCAGTAGTTAATGATTGTTGGGGATTATTAGTTAACTACAATATGAATGTTGGTTATTTTAAATGAAACTGAAGTTTAAATTTAATTTACAAAGCTAATAAGTGGATTTAATAATGATGTGCATAAAACTGCAAAGACTTTAGAAAAGTTATTAATAATGAACCAAATTCATGCACCAGGGTCAAAGATACTTGTACTATAGTAGTATAAATACATATGATATTGAAAAAAAATTTAGCAGAATAATTAACCCAGTTTATATTCTATTGGTATCAACCTTATGCACGTTGGAGTCAAGGAAGCATAACAGATAGTTATGAGGACCTGCTCACCGTCCAGTGTGGACCGCCTGTTCCGGCGGAAGAGACGCACCAAAACGAAGCTGTACTCAGTGGAGAGGAAGGTCGGGTGAATGCCCAGGTGCTGCGCCTTGGTCTTGGTGGCGAGAGAAGTGATGAAAACCCTGTGGGGCTCTGGCACTCCCTCTATATAGAAGTTGTCAAAATAGGCGGTGAGGAGGTCCCGTACGTCGTCGCAGAAGTCGATCAGAAAATGTTGGTCATAGCCGTGTCGGTCTGTTTGGGTTACCTGATGTTGCTGGTTGCGGCGTTTGGTCTGTGATGCCCAGTATGAGTTCTTTTGGAAGACCTCAGCCGTCTTATCCCGGAACAACCAACTGTTGTCATATCGATGTGGGAACACCTGGAAATCACAAGGTCGCGCTATACAGTTGATGGTAAGCCTGAAGAACAGATGCAGTAATTTATTGGTGATACAAAACTTGAAGAACATGATTTGTTGGTGACAACCTGAAGAAAATTATTATTGGAAACACAACCTGAAGAACTGGATGCACTTGCCATTTTTGTTTATGCTTGCTAACCAGGTTAAGAGCATGGGTGGAAGACCAGACTCAGCGCTACATGTGCTGCTGTATACTGTATACTGTATTATGTTAGTGTCACACACAATGTTACCGTCAGCCTCACCTTGATGGAGAGTGTCAGAAAGCCATATCTTGGGAGAAGGTTGAGCGACCTCCCGACCTTCAGGTAGTCGCTGGATGTTATGATGTCGTTGTCCTCGTCAGCGTCGCGGGTGGTAGAGTTCTTGGACTCTCCACACAGCACACACACAGCCAATATCAGCGCAGCCCATGACGTGCCCACGCCTACGCCCATCACAGAATCGCAGCTGTGAGCAGAGGATGGTAGTGACCAGGTGAGCTATGTGGGTAGTTATGTATATCTTCATAATATACAGTATTGTGTGTATAGCCTACCGTGGCACTACACACACACACACATTTATTAGGAATTATAAAACAATGTCAAGCAACAGAAATTTAGACGCTTACCATAGTTTCTAATATTCAGTTCAAGTTTTGCATCATTGCAGTGAGAGAGAAGTTCTGAACCTCTCCGGACTCATGACTCAAGACCTCGCTCACATTACTGTACCAAGGTGGGGCTGACCACCTTCACGGTTCACCACCCTCGTCACTGGGCAACCTTTGTTACCCAAGGTGCTCTGAAACCTTTCCGTCAGATAATATATAATTATATATCATAAAATTGGTCAAGCAGAAAAAATGGTCACGGATCCTCTCTGGTTTACAGTTATCTCGAGGATTTTCAGTGTGTTAAGACGACCAGAATACGTCAAGGGCTCAAAAAATTAGTCCTGTTAATTTTGAATACGATAAGGGATTACCTTAGGGGTTTAAAGTTTTTAACTAAATTTTTTAACCCATAAACACTTTATAAATCTCTGAACTTGTCCCCTAAAGCTTCGGAAATGCTCGAGACTCAGGCTGGTTCATCTGAAGTTTCGATAAATAACATACGAGTCCCCAGGCAGTGCAGCACTGTAGGCATTTCCCCAGTCACCACAACAACAACATCGCCGGCGCCGTGTGCGAGTTGTAGGAAACAAAATGCTAAAGCCTTCCCAAGAACAGTTCTCCGTTTATAATTTGTGGACATATACAACAGTGAGGAGTGTGGGTGTATCCCTTCAAGCACAAACAAGTTGGCAGAAATTTATTGGTTAGAAAATCTTGGATTACACTTCGAGTACCTGTTGTTGTCAGTTCTTCAAGCTCTATTAATGTGTTTCTTGATAACACACACTAGGCTGTTACAGTCTAAGGAAATGGATGATTGCTGTTAACGGGAAATTATTAATGACCATATTGTGAACCGAAATCAAGTGGTGTGTCAGCCGTGTTAATAAACGGAAGTAAAGTGTATCTTCAATTAGAATCACAGACGAGCATTGACTGAAGAAAATTGGCGAATAAAGTACCACCCATGTATCCTGAGATGAGGTGAGTGACTGTACAGTACTTGGTTTGTTGGAGATTTTTGAAGTTATTTCATTAGCTACATTCAGGCCTCCCAGTGCTCTTGTATTACTGGTCACAGTTTAAACAAGTAATATTGTAGGTAATTTTATATATTAAAATACTTGAAAAATATACATTTCTGACGGACAGGTGTCTTAGAATAGTCTGAACTATGCGAAAAACAATTTTTTTTATGGAAAAGTCGAAACCTGGTTACCATCATAATGTTAAGAGTGTCCGCCAGAAGTTTCTGTTCTTGGTATGAAATGCGTTGGTTCGGATGGAGTGGTTAGTTCGAGCAGTTTCGCTCATTACTCGACCACACTGAATCATTCACCATTTAAGTGCGGTCCGACTAATTACCCAAATGTACCCAAATGTAGCCAAATATAGCCGGAATGAAGTCAAATAATGGTCCTACATGAATAAATCGGACTGCCAATCATTTCTCGACTAGTATTTGGTGTCACAAAGTCACAAAAAATTGGAAAACTTACTTTAATCTGAGTTAATACATCGCGCGCATGTACCGAGGGAGCGAGGAATTACCCAAATGTACCCAAATGTAGCCGCAATGTAGTCGCAATGAAGTCAAATGATGGTCGTACAAGCGTAATTCGGGCTGTGAATCACTTCTCGATTATTATTTGGTGTCATAAAGTCACAAAAAATTGGTAAACTTAATTTAATCTGAGTTGTGTTGTGTTAGGTAAGGTTAGGTACATGCACTTGATCTATTAACTCAGATTAAATTAAGTTTACCAAACTTTTAAATACTAGTCGAGAAGTGATTGGCATTCCATTTTTCACATTTGGGTAATTAGTCGAACCCCCTCAGAAGGCTCCTGACTAGTTAAAGTTCGTCTCGTCTGGTTAAGATAGTGTCTCTTGACGATTAGGAACCCACTCTTATTTGACCTGATTAAACATCCTACAGATAAATGATGGGGTTCAATTTGGTTAGTTTAAGTTTGGTTAGGTTAGCATTAGGGTGTTTAATCATCAGGTGAGGATTCTTAATCTTTATGAGATCCGAATAAAATTATGTGGTCTTTTCGTAGAATTTTTAAAGCTTTGTCATTTTGCGGTTAGTTGCTGGACCAGAAACTAGGTGGTGGAGTTGTAAGATGAACTTGTATTTACCTCACGGGCGTTGCCACAGACTCGGAGTCGTGACTCCCCACCGCTACAGCAACACCACAGAGAAACATTAATTATTACACGTTAAAAATAACCCATGGCTGCCGAGACACCTACTGCGTACTTATTTATTTATTTTTCAGGCTGTAAACTGTCGTGGTTCTAATGATGACATTGTAGCGGCGCTTGAGCGTCCATCGTATGTTATTTTATAATTGACATTTTTAACACAATTCCAACATACTACCTGTATTAACTAATTAACGGTTACTACGCAGAGAATATTTTATCCCACACATCTGTTCATTTTCAGTAGAAAACTTATACATAGTACAAAGCTATTGAACACGCCAAGCCAACTATTAGCCGAGCCCCAACCAAACTGTGCCTGGTACAGGAAGCAATACAGTACAGTGCAATCAGGCACAACGCACTAAAAGAGAACGCCCTGCAGTCACGTTTTGATTGTTGGAGGCTCGTGTGACGTCGTGCTTCTAGAAACAAATTAGGCATTCATCCAACTTATCTTGAGCTAACACGACCCAACCAAACTTAACATTTCCTAAGTACAGTACATTAGGCTAAGTTTATTAATGTTATCTGCTTCATAGATATGACGTCTTAAGTTCCAGTCAATCATAGCCTGGCTGAGAGATGCAGCCTGACTCCGTGATAAAGGCTGTGGTAATCAATCTTGTGTACCGTGCTCAAGAACAGCTACACAATATAATTATGGTGTGCCGGCATGACGGTGTCCTCTCTATACCCTTGACACTTCAGCCTGCAGTGAACGACACTCTTTGTCTTGTCTACTGAGCCCTTGTCATATGAACAGCGCCTGCACGAGCAAATAACACTGCCTGGCATTTCCTGCCTTCTCATAAAATGACACGAAAGGATGTTACATCAGACGACTGTTCACCAGTCTTCTGCCTGCAGTGGCGTTCTACTGTTGACAGGAACATGCAAGTCTGCGGTGTACCGAGGTTGAGTGATGCGTGGGTGTGGTGCGGCCCTGGCCACGAACAACTCAGTCCTGACCGCACGTTGTTCCGGGACCTTGAAGTTCAAGGTCAGCCTCAGGCCGGATCCTCAGATATTTGTTCATTGTTTGTTTTTCTTAAACTGGGAATTAACACGTTTTATAAAATAAATTTTTGTGCCGCAGCTGAAGTCTGGTAGATGTGTTCACTTATGACACTTAATTTAGATTGAGGATAAATTTAACGTACATACATACCTCAGAGTACCAGACCCAAGAGTAGGAGTTGCAGCTGCAATTTTCCGTGCGTGTGCGGGAGTTGTCTCGTCTCTCAGTTTGTGTACAACCTTCCCGTGTCTGCTGTCTAGCGTGTGTGTGTGTGTGTGTGTGTGTGGATAGTAAATTTGTGTTATTTAAGGCACGGTGGTACAGCCTATCACCAGAACAAAACTTTCTTTGAGTGCTCGCATTCGTTTAAGTATTCCCTGAATTAGATAAGTGTCCTCTAAATGCGCGTTATCGTTGTTTAGTTTTCTTTATCCCAGAGCAGTTGTGTGTCATAGAGGGGGTGGGTGTTAATTGTCTGTCCGCCAGCTAATGGGACTTATTTTCGTTCAGTAAATTAAAAAAGAACAGAATGAACGGGTCTAAGTGAAATATGGTTTACAGTTTTGTATCAGGAATATGAATATGGAGTTTAATAATTATTAAACCCTGATTATAATCAGGGTTTCCACACGATTATTAGTAGGTTGGGTTGATTTAAGCAAAGATGGGCCGGGTTAAATTAAGTTAGATTAAATGAGGTTGGTCAGGTTACGTTTGGTTAGGCTAATTTGGATTATTTCAGGTTAGGTTCGGTTGGCATAGAGTAAGTTGGATTAGGCTAGGTTAGGTTAAGTTATATTGGGTGGTTGGTTAGGGTCGGAGAGATAAGTTCATATTCAAACTTTAATTATCTCGAAAATACCTCAGCTTATGTTCTTTAAACTTGGAACTTTTTCTGTCGCTTCATATTATTACTAATGTCAGGTCCTCCCCCCTACATCCCCTAATGACCATGTTTTCAGGTCAAGGTCATTCGGGCAGAGGTTACGAGAGTGTGAGAAGTGGTGATTGACTCTCCTTGTTGAACCATGATGGAGGTGGAGCTTGTTGGGCAATGATAATATTTAATAAAATTAATTTTGCTGAAGGGACTGTAGTGTTTTGGGTAGGAGAGAGAGGTCACTGGATGGTTGAAGGGGTTGGACACACCCTATTTGACCCCACTGAAGAAACAGGAGTTGCTCACCACCGCCACCCTCCTCTACTGGGGTGTTCGTGTAAAGCTTCGCCTGTATCTTGCTTAGGCACTCACTCAATCACTCATCTGAGATGGAGGAAAATCTCCACTTGAATACGATGGAAACCTCTTGAGTGCAATTATTTAATCCTTTGAGTACAGTAACTTAACCTATTGAGTACGATGTCTTAACCACTTATGTACAGTAATTTAATCCCGTAGGTATAATGACTTAGTCCCCTGATTACAATTATTAAACCTGAGTTCGGTAAAATGAATTAATCAGCTGAATACGAGGTGTTTACCTTCTAAATTTGATTAACTACTTCCTTGGGTAAGATGTGTGTACTCAGTGGGTTAATCATCGTACTCGTGCAAGTAAGTAATCTCAGTGGGTTAATTGTCTGTACTCAAGGCCACAGCTGTGATCAGAATGCAGG